GAGATGGGGTGAAAATTTGGAACTGAAAATCTTGTGAAAGTAAATGTTGAAAACTAAAAACAAATAAATTAAATAAAAAAAAAGAATTCCTGGTGAGGAAACATCTTTCAGTAACACAGAGTGGCAATTCCTCTTTCACTACAATTTATAGGAATATAGAGTTGCCTGGGGAAGTGAGAGTTAATTGATTTCCCCTGGTCATAAGACCATTCTGTGTCAGAAACTGGCTTTGAACCTAAGCTTTCCCAACTTCTTGGCTGGCCCTCTATCCGCTATGCCAAGCTAACTCTTATTGGTCATCTTAACCAGTCCAATCCAATTGAAACTAATCCAATCCAATAATTTTATTAAATGATTAATACTACAGGAACATAGGGCAGAGCTCCCAAGACAACATAAAATATACATGTGTTTGAGAGAGAGACAGAGACAGAGACAGAGAGACAGAGAGGGATTGACAGAAAGACAGAGAGACAGAGACAGAGACAGAGACAGAGAGAATGAAAGTCAGAATGTATTTGACCAACACACCTAGGGGTTCCCCTCACTAGGATGAAATCATTTCATAGCCAAATTCCTCTATATATAACATGCATAGGCATAAATAGTATTACAGTGACAGGTGGAATAAGGGGATAACATCAGAATTAGAAAACCTGGCTCAAATTCTACCTCTGATACTAAATATGTGTGACCTTAAGCAAGTGACTTATCATTCTTGGGCCTCAGTTTCCTCCCCTGTAAGATGAGAGGGTTGGACTATCTAACCTCTGAGATTCCTTCCAGTTCTAATCAATGATATTATGACTTGAATCAAAGACACACTTTATAAAAAGTTATTCAGTGACATTCAATAAAATCTGAGAAAATGACATAAGAACATTCTAGAATATTTCAGATACAATAGGCAGGACTAAAACGAACCCATAAACTAATAAGTTAGAAGTCCAATCAATTAATAATAAATCACAACTAATATAATGTTTCAATATTTACAAATTCCTTTCCTCATAATGACTCTGTTGCGGAATTCAAGGAGACAAGTCAACTAATCCTTCCAAGACTCAGCTTCCTCATTTGCAAAATGGGAATCCCAGACTCTATTTTTAAAAAAATAAAAATAAAAACAGGTTTTCTTTTAGGGTAAAGCTTGGAAAGTACTGTGTGACCTTTCAAATGCAATCAAGCCCGTTTTCTTCCTCTTATTTAATGTTGTACCCAGCTAACTGTGGACCTTTAGTATCTGTCTAAGATACATGTACTGAGAGAACAGCTCAAAGAGATTCGTAGAAGTACATGACTTAGAGCTGGAAGGGTAATGATAAATCATTTCATTTTACAGGCAAGGAAAAGGAGAAGGTGATAG